CGTCCAGCCCCGCCCCCGCTCTCCGACTCCGCTTCCTCGTCCCCATTGGCCTGCTGGGCAAGGCTCCGCCCACCTGGGACTCCAACCTCCGGCGGAGGGGCGCCTGGCAGGGAAGGAACGCAGGACCCGCAAGGCCCAGCGTCGGGCATCGTTCACTCGACGCACCCGGCTGCGGTCTCCCTATCCGTAAATGGGGATGGGGGCCGGAACGCTGGCTGCGCTTCACTTGGGCTCTCTCTCGTTGGTTCGGGCATTGCACGTTCATTGAGCTTCTGCGGGCGTCGGCCTGGAGAAGCCCGGCTGGCATGGCGTCCAGAAAAGGACCTAGTGGCCTGCCTATAAAGTAAGGATGATCTGTATTCAGAGCCTGGCTTAGTTACCTAGAGCTGTGTGATCTTGAGCAAGTTACTTAACCTCTCTGTGCACTAATGTTCTCGTCTGTAAAATGGAAGTACAGCGAGTGTAAAGTGCTGAGAACATCAAGTGTGACCCAGTAGCGTGTGTAAGGGGACAGGAGGGTAGATTCAATTCTTTCGGGGAAGGTTGCGTCTTATATCAAGACCTAGGAGAAAGACAGTACCCTGTCTTGGCATCCATCCGCGGGCCTGTAAATTCAGGCAACTGCCAGGGAGGGCTGAATACAGACTTTGGAGCCGCACAGCCACACTTTCTAATGGGGCGTCTTCGTGCCTATGAAAGCGGAGATGAGAACCTAAGAATACAGGAGGCGGTAAGCGAGTGGCCCCCGGTGCACCCTTTCTGCACCCCAGGGTCAGTAGGTGCATCCTCTTGGCTCTGGCTTGTCACCACTTTGACTGGAGGCTGGCCTTTAGCCCCACTCTACAGATGGAGCAACTGAGGCCCAGGTCCTGCCATCACTCAGGAGGCGTGAGATCACCACCTAAGCTAGGAACCAGGTTCCAGCCTCATGCTGTCGGCCACAGAGAGGATGACCAGAAATAGGGCACCGGTGGCCCAAGAAGTCAGAGAGGACTCATCTGCAATGCTGGCCACTGACCAGGGCACCAAGGGATATGCCTTTGGTGACTCGGGTGACTCAGGGATGACTCAGGAGGAAGGGGTGATCAGGAAGCCACTCGTCCTCTCCTAGCTGAGGAAGCAGCCCCAGGCAGCGATAAGGAACTGCAGCATCCCACCCCGCCGCCACAGGGGACCGCAGGTCCAGTGCCGCTGGCCCTCAAGGCCAGGAAGGACCCTAGCTGTCACCAGCTGAGAGCCCTGAGCAAGGTGCCTCTTGGGTACCCAGACCCACAATCTCCTCCAGCCCCCAGCCAGGTTCCCACATCACAGAGGGGTGGCGAGGGAGTTTTCAAGGCTAATCTACACATTCAAGTGACAAACAGACGGGCCTGTTTCCTGTCTTTTAAATGGGCCTGAAAATCGTCCCACCTCCTGGGGGGTTGTGTGGTCAAGGCTGTGTGTGGAAAGCCAAGGTGAGTGCCCACTCCATCTGTGGGCACCATCCTCGCTCTACCCAGATCTCTTTCCTTTTCCTTTCCCACTGACGATCCCATATCTAAGTCACAGGTCCTCTGAGCTTTACCCTTTTCATGGCTACAGTGAGAGTCATACTTAGCTCACAGGAACGTGAGGATTTCAAGTAACATGACACAGCCGCACTGTTTACACTAACCCAAAGGTGGAGACAAGCCGAGCGTTGCTCAGCTGATGACAGAGGAACAAACGGTGTGGTCCGGCCACGCAGTGGAATATTGCTCAGCTCTGAGAGGGAGTGGCGCGCCAACCGGTGCTACATGGATGAGCCTCAGAAACGTGACACTGAGGGAGAGAGACGCTGAGCAGACACAGAAAGCCACACAGTGTTCGATTCCATTCATGTGAGGCGTCTAGAACAGGCAAATCCCTAGAGACAGGAAGTAGATGAGTGGTAGCCAGGAGCTGGGGGAGGGGCAGTGGGGGAGACTGCTTAATGTCCGGGTTCTTTTTGGGGGGATGAGATACTGATGGTGGTAGCACAATTGTTGTGAATGTGCCAAATGCCACTGAATTGTACCCTTAAAAATGGTTAAAATAGTTATGTAAATTGTCCCCACACACTCAAAATATGGTTACATGTGAAGGGCCTCCCTCCGCGTCTCGCTCCCTCCCTCCCTTCAGTGAGTGGAGCTTGTGAGTGAAGTACAGATGAGAAAGTCTGAGCACTGAGGTCTGAGCTCCTTGGAAGCATCTGGCAAAAGCATCTGGAATGGAGGGGGAGGGCAGGCCAGGCCAGTCACTCCCCAGGGTCCATCTCCCAGGCTAGGAAGGTGGCTGGGTTGAGGCTCTGGAATGGTTGCCCCAAGACCTCCAGGCACCTGGAGAAAAGCCAGGCAGAGGCCGGGTCCCCAGACGCTGGGGCGGAAGCCAGAACAATGGAATCCCCTATGTTTGGATCCCGTCCAAAGAGGTTCATATTTTCCGTGGAGATAGAGCTCATGAGAAAGCCGGAGGCCGGGGCCTCCCTGACGCCCGCTGAGATGTGGCTGCACAGCCAGCCCGGTGCCTGCTCACCACTGACACCTGGCTCGTGGATCCCGGCCACAGGAAAACCACGGAGCGCTGCTTTCCAGCTGGCCACGGTGAAACTGGCCCTGTGGCTCTGGAGGCTGGGAGAGATGCCAGCCAGCGTGGTGCCCAAAAGGTCCACGGAGTGAGCCAAACACAGAGCCAGCCAGAATGTGATGGGAGCAGCCTCACTTGTCTGGAGTCACCTAGCCAGTAGCCTTGCCTCTCCAGAGAGCCCCTGGAAACAGCAAATCAGCAGGGATGGCCTCTGGCTGACCAAGGCCACTGTCGCAAGTCCCACGTCACCTTCGGGGATCTTAGGGCTTACTTAGCCCAGCTTCTCCGCTTTACAGCTGGGGACACAGACCTGACTTTGGGAAAGCAGGAAGCTCTCTTCAGCAGCTCTCCTTTCTCAAGGGCAGTGACTGTGCATGGGCACAGGCATTTGCACAAACACACCAGACTCCGGGTTAGACTGCTGATCTCACAGCCCCCAAGGGAGCCATCACTACCCTCACTTTACAGGCTCACCCAGTGTCCTGAGCTGGGAGGATGGACAGTGTCACCCTCACAGCAAGCGTCACGGGGCACTGTGTTGAGGACGTGGCCTTTGCCGTCAGACTCAGGGAGGAGAGCTGTGTCGCAACCGATAGGCACGTCTTTGTTTGCGCAGGGCTGGCAACACCAGAGAGCAGCCGTGTGATTTAGGATGGGGGCTCTGGGTCACGCAGCAGTAGTGGACTGGTAACCATGGGGGTGATCAGTGAATCAATTGTGCCTACGTAACGGATCCCTGATAAAAACCGTGGACACCAGAGCTGGGATGAACACCCCGGTTGGTGACATTCGTGCATTTTGTCACACATCAGCGCATCACACATCCTTCTCATTTGGAGCCCCTGAGACTCTGCCTCCTGCATCTCTTCGGCTGATTTTCATCTGTATCCTTTGCTGTAAGAACCCGTAACTGTGACTGTATCAGCTTTCAGTGAGTTGAGTCCTTCTAGCAAATTATCAAAACTGAGGGTGGTTTTGGGAACTCTCTAAGCCGGCGGTTGGTGTCAGGAGTGAGGCAGTCTTGGGGAATGTGCCCTCAGACTTTTGGCTGCCTCCACGGAGCCGCGGTGCCCTTTCACGCCCAGAGTCACTCATGCGCCTGCAGTCTTCTTGGGTCCCACTTACTACGGCTCCAGTGGCAAAGCCGTCACAGGCAAGCCCAGAGACAGTGGGTGGGGTGGAAAAGGCACGGCACAGGGAGGTGTGGCTACAGGCCCGTGGCTATGACAATCCTGATTCAGCCGACTTCCAAAATGGGGAAAGGTTTCTTAATGTTCCGGGCCTTCAAAGGATGTTCTTTGGTCAGCCAGTCAATTCCTTTCCTCCCTGGTGGGCACAGGGAGAGGAGGTGGGCAGCTGGGAGAAGAGGGACATGGAGGCTGACGTATGTATGAAGCCCTCCTGGCATCCTCAGGGACCATCTGTCTTGGTGACAAAGGCCAGTGGAGCAGCTGTTGGAAGGATGGCCTGCCAATCGCACTGCCCCTACACCTGGGGAGAGAAGCCACCTTTCTTTGACCTTCAGAAGCAGGCTGGCAGTGCAGGAGGGGTGGCCTGGGCGTGGGAGGGACAGACCCTCACCGCCTGTCCTTTACCCGCCAGCTGCTCTGGCCTTGGGCCGCCTGGTGACATTGCTGCCTTTCCCAGAGCAGAGACCCTGCCACCAGACAGCTTCCCAAGCCTTGGTCTCCTCGTCTGCCGGGGGAGGAGACATACTCCCCTCCATGGTGGGTGCCGCGCTAGGCTGGGAAGGGGGTGTTCACAGCTGTGAGCCAGCTCCCTGCCCTGCCTGTAGCCTGTCCCCATGTAGCCTGCCCAAGTCCCCTTAGGGGGCTGTCACTCCCCACAGCCGTGATGTCTCTGCCTTGCCTGGGTAGAGGCTGACCACTGCCTCCCCATGTGGGGGCCCTGGGTCCCCAGACTCAAAGCTGGACTCAGACCTCACACAGGGCGGCCTGTTTCACGGGCCTGTGTTGGGGTGGGGGTGGGGGTGCAGGGAGGCAGGGTAAGCCAGCATCTCCCTCCCCAGGATGGGCTGCCTCTCCTAGGAAGCCCTGGAGCCCTCCCGAGGGAAATGTCACACCCTGTCCTCCTCAGTCGCCAGGA